CAGAGACTTGCACGATTATGGGGCAATTAGTTTCCATACCGCTGAGAGTCCAAGAAGCTGATGCGAACGTCACAAATTCTGTCCACCTTGGCTACGATGTAATTTGGCTAAGTTTAATTCAATTAATTGCTTGGGTTGAGGTAGACAAATCAGTTGGCTATCAGCATGCAGCAGACACTCAAACTAAGGCACAACATTGACAAAGCCACTTGTATTTGGTAAGAATTTTTCCAGGAACTTTTTCCTTCTCAGTTTACGTTGTTCAGATGATGGAAAAGGTGATGAATTGAATTTTTCAACCCTGTACATACGATACTTGCACCTACTTACCGAGAGAAACTTCGCCACTGCCGGTCCCGAGCTTGGTTGGAAAAGGAGGAGGGTTGGGAACCGTGTCAGAGTCTCCGTAAAAGCTCGCCATCTGCCATTCATGACACGGACGCCATTGAAAATTATACCGGTTCGGCCCTCGCTTGGGGTACCGCGCAGGCTGTTGGTGGACTGAGGCAGACTGCGAAAAGTCGGCGATCAGAACCAGCTAATCGCCCTCTGCCAGCCGGGAGCATACCAGCACAACAGCGGCTGAAGAAGACCGACGGAACGACGACGAAGATATCACTCAGCAACGTAGTTGCTACCCTTTCTGAACGGAGGAGTCAGACAGCGCGATGCCATTATTCCACGTCAGAAAAGGCTCTACAAGAACAATACCGGCAGTGGGAGCTTACACTCGCAAATTGGAATATACCCTCACTCACTGCGAAAGAGCATCAGTTAGCTGATAAGATTATAAAGTATCAACTCGATAACTAATCGCCAGAGGTCTGGAATCCCAAACATCTGCGGGTAGAAAGTATTCTACTCAGGTGTCGATATCACGACTCGCGCTCAGGCCGGTGTTGCTGTTCTAACAGAACCCTCGTAGATACATCATTGATTAGAAGCCTACTAGCGGAAGGGCGGTAATCCTCCGACTGAAGCTACAACAGGCTAAATCGATGACTTTGGTACAGGTCTATGCGCCAGTTTGGGGCGAGAATATGAGTTCTTTCTTAAGGAAGTGCAGTGTGCTCTGTCCGAAGTGCCGAATACAGAGTCCCTCATACTGATGGGCGATTTAATGCGCACGTCGGAGTATACGCTGAAAGGTGGAACGGCGTGATTGGAAAAAACGGTCCTAGCGACCTCAACAATAACAGCATGAAGTTGTTGGGATTTGTGCAATTAACGGATTGTACATTATGAACAT